CAGAAAAAGCATAGGAGACTATAAAGCTAGAGTTGTATCTGCCTTGTATTTGTGTTTATTATTGTTATACTTTAATAGAAATTGTTTATGATTCTACTACTTCTGATTCTTTTTGCATTTTTTTTTTAAACTTGTTAAAGGGCCTGTAAAATTGCCTTTACCCATAAAACAGAGGTTCAGTTTCTCTTTTATGGGTAAGGCAACTGAGATTCATACAGGTTACATGACTTCACTAATGGTTTATAATTTATGGTCATGCCGAGACCACAGAAAAACCCAGGTCCTCTCAAATCCCATTTTACTGTTCATTTCCCTATGAAGTACTTTTCCTTATGATTCTGTTGCTCAAATTTTACTGCCTTCTACAAGGTATTAAAATAAATTTAGTCCCTTCATTTCTGATTGTAATAAATATCCTCACTGAAAGCAGTATCATTAAAATTACTTAAGTAGATTAGTTTTCTGGAGAAATAATTTTTCCTTAAAATTTCATTAAGTGAAGATATTGAATTTAACACTTTTTTTTTTAATTCTTTTCCAAGGTCTGTAAACAGATTTGGCTAGGATTATTTGATGATAGATCTTCAGCAATTCCAGACTTCAGGGATCCACAAAAAGTGAAAGAGTTTCTACAAGAAAAATATGAAAAGAAAAGATGGTGAGTGAATAGTTTGTATTTAGAGTAAAGCCTCCCAAAATCACATTAATTATAGGTAAGGTTAGTCTGACACAATGAAGGACAGAAGACAGCTAGGAAGGAACTAAATAGGTAGATAGATAGGTAGACATGCGTTATCCTTTGGCTTTTTATTGGATTTGGTTACTAAAGACATTTACTTCCTACTTTATCTTTTTCTTTTTTCTCAAACAGGGCTGCTGCTAAACTTCCGCTTTATCTTAACTCATCTGCCTAGCAGCAGCCTTTTTACTACATTTATCAGGACTTCTACCATTTTTGAAAAGTTAGGGGTCCTTCCTTCTAACCCTTTGTAGTCCTGGTATCTTCTGTAGACATTTTTAGACCTACAAAGCCTCCTTTTAAAATCTTTGTTCGTTTACCAAATATTTATTGAGTAGTATCTTCTATATGCTGAAGCTCTGGTGTAGTAATAACTTAATTGTATCTTGCAGTAAGTTTTCGTTCAAAATATCCTTTACTTCCCAGCTAATAAATCAGTTTACTACCTGGTTAAGAAGGGTGTCTTGATATCCCCCTGACTAAATTCATCAGATATTAATTTTTTAAAAATAATTCCAACAGGTTATACATATAGTTAGCCCCTAAAGCAGAGCAGGGACTGTATCCATAGAGCTAGTGTTCTGTATCCATAGAGCTAACTCGGGCTTTTCATTTTGAGCTATGTGAGCACAATTTAAATATAGCTAAGACTTATTAATTATGAAATCTTTTGGTTGTTTCTTTATCAGTATTGACAATGTATGTTTATTTCTTGAGAGGTTAAGAAGATGGGTCAGAGAGTCATGAATAGAATAGATAATGGGGAAGTAAACAACCTCTTATTTCCCTGAGGAATTGTATTATAACCCAGAGAATGATATATTCAGAGCCTCTTTTGGTCTTGAGGGAACACTTGGCTGTGGTTTATGGGAGAGAGGTCTTTACCTTCATTCAGTGAGCATGTTAGCTCTGACATCTATGCTGTGTCAAAGTTTGTATTTCTGTTGCTCTCTAAAATAGACTGCTTTTGTGAGACAAGATTAGCCAGGGTTATATGCAGCTGCACTAGAGCCATTAGGTATGAATATAGATAAAAATACAGCAGTAAAATTTATGTTCAGGAGGGAAGAAACTATTCGAAGGTGAGATGATTCTTACAATACAGTACAATATAATAATTATATATTATAATATAGTAGTACAATATAGTAGCATAAATGATTCTTTTCAAATGAAAAGTATAATATTTCTTTTATCATTTTAATTCTTAATTTTCTAGACCTTCTGTCTTGTAGGTAATTCTGTTCTCCTTGCATAACCCTAACCTAATTTTTGGTTTTCTCAGTTGTGTTACTTTTACCAATTGAGAAAGTCAGTTTGATTAGGGCTTAGCTGGGATTTTTAGATAGATTAGCTCTAGCTATCAAGAGAAAAATAAATGTGAATAACAGTTCATAGAATTAAAACCATAGATCACATTTATAACAATTAATATATTATTAATTCAAACTATAACCCAAATAACTAAAAACCTCCAATAATTATGATTTGTTTTACATTTTTCTTTACTGAGAAACAGGATACAAACTTTTAAGTGGTTAATGGAGGGGAAGGGTGACCATCATTCAAGAGGCCCAGGACCTGTACATTTTTAATCCAAACTCCTGCACACCTGTAACATTTAACTAGGAAGCAATAAAATGGGTTTTTAACATGGTATAAGCACTATCCAAATGCTGTCTCCCTAAATTACTCACTGTGGGGAAACTAGACTTAATAGCACTGATGCTATTGTTATCCAATGGGATTTTGAATTGTTCTTTTGACTAGTTCTCACAATCACTTCCTAGCTTATACAAGATTAGCTCCTTTGTCAGATGAGTCTTCTGAACCAATAACTTTATTACCTGGTTTTTTGATAGGACTTGGCAGTACTGAAGAATTTATATCATCAGTGGTATACGCCAAATTATTGGAAAGCATAATTTTGTATATTCATTCTCATATCTCTTGTCCTTTTTTCCCATTTATTGAAAAAGAGCAATTTTATTATTTGTGATTATTATTACACAGTTTGATAACAGCTAACACTTATGTAGTTAAAGCCTGTACCAGGAATTGTTCCAAGTGCTTTACAAATGTTAACTTGTTTAAGCCTCACAACAACCCTATCTCCATTTTATAGATGAAAAAATGGAAGCACAAAGAGTTGAAGTAGTTTGCCCAAGGTTTTATAGACATCAAGTGGTAGAGCTGGGATTTGAACTCTGTCTTGGAATAGATGGTCTTAACCACTCTTGTTTTTCTACTTTTCCCCACCTGCTTGATATGGGGGGTCAGAAGGAGGGTAGGAGAAAACCCAGAATTATAAAGAGCAGAAGGCTGTCACATAATCCTACCCCTCAAGGTTAGCGTTGATGATACTTGGGCGTTATATCCTTACTGCCTCTCTTTCCTTCCTTCGCTCCTCTGCTCCCATGAATCCTGTATTTACATGACTGAGATCAAACCTGAAAGACCTGTAAAGTTTTATTGGCATCTTTCCTCATCAAAGCTGAGTAGCTATGTAGTATTATATTATACAAAGTTTAGCATAGCCTCTTTAAATATTTTTCTCCTGATAGATGTTGGATTTATTTCCCAGTTTTTTTGAAATTATAGAGTACTATGGTAACATCCATGTGTACATGTATCTATGTTTACCCATCCAATTCTTAAGGATAAGTTTCTGGAAGTGGTACTTCTGGGGTGGACACAGAGTATACCTATTTATATATTTCGGTAGATAGCAATAAAACATTTGTAAAGTTCACACATCAAACGTGAATGAAACCTTAATTTGCATTTTTGTTAGCTTATAAGTGTTATCATTTCTCTATCTCCTATGAATTGCTGCTTCTGTTCATTTTAAAATGGGATTATTGATCTTATAGATAAGGGTTTTTTTTGCTGATCATGAAGCAGTGAAGATTATTCTTATTGCTATAATAGGCCTTTATATTTTAAGCTATTAAGTATAATAAATGTTTCCCTACCATCTCATCTGTTTCTAAATGTTATTTATGATCTTAAGATATTTTTGTTTTTAAAAATTAAAGTGCAGTATTAACTACTCATCATGATGATTAACTGTAGGTCTTTTGTGGTTTAAAAAAAGCAGTTATATTGTATTTATTATCTTAGAAAAATCATAAGTAAATAATTGAAACACATTTAGTGGTTAGTCTTTATTACTCTTTCTCTGAGTAGTTCAATTAAGTGTAATCTTAAGCTGTCAATTCTGAGTGAGAGGGTTTACAGATAAGGTTAATGTTGAAGCAATCTTTTACAAAATTAGAGTTGAACATATCATTTTTTAGTATAGAATTCCCTACATTTTTCTTAGTTAACGGATTTTCACATGTTTTAGGTATGTCCCGCCAGAACAAGCCAAAGTGGTGGCATCAGTTCATGCATCTATTTCAGGGTCCTCTGCCAGTAGCACAAGCAGCACACCTGAGGTCAAACCACTGAAATCTCTTCTAGGGGATTCTGCACCAGCACTGCACTTAAATAAGGGCACACCTAGTCAGGTGAGTAGTCTTTGTAGGGACTTCTACTTAAGGGGGATTGAGTATCAAGAATTTGAGAATTCTTTTATTCTTGTATGCCAGTAGCATTATGTCCTCATGGTTTATAATACATTAAAAGATTGTTGGTTAAGTGGTTGAAATGTGTATATTTTTATTCTTTTTGCTGTTGCTGCTGAGTTTGACTTCTCTGCAGCTTTCTGAAGGTATACAGGGATGTTGCTGTAGCTACCTGTTCTACAGTATGCAATTAGTAAAACATGCATCTTTGATGACCATCACAGTTAGAACAGTATAGCTTCTGTGATGTACTTTTACAGGAAGGGATTTCTTAAGCAGTAAAATTTTCCCATGTGCCTGATTGTGAAGCATGTTTAACGTTGAAACACAGGTGGCTTTGTGTTATACCTTATTCTAAAAAAGTGTTTTCGTAAGTTGGCACCTAAAGTTTGTAGTTCTCTACTTCATCGTAGCTGACAGAGCTGTGACAGATCTGTTTCTGTGTGACATTGCAACCTCTATACAAGAATGGTTCTGAGGTGTGGTACTATGGATTAAATCCTACCCTTTTTAATAATGCATACTAGGGCTTCTGGATAGATTGCTCTGTTTACACAAAAAGTTTGAGTGAAAAAATGAAGAGAGGGGTTAGGTTAGTGTGCAGTAACTCTTCCTGCGTAACTGTGTTTCAAGTTTGGTGAATTGAAGATAGTTTTATATTAAAATTTTGCAGATCTGACTTGGAAAATCTTTATAGATAATATGTGGTTTGTAGTCCCCAGTTGTAGGTCGCTCTCAAGGGCAGCAACAGGAAAAGAAGCAGTTTGACCTTTTGAGTGATCTTGGCTCAGACATCTTTGCTGCTCCAGCTCCTCAGTCAACAGCTACTGCCAATTTTGCTAACTTTGCACATTTCAACAGTCATGCAGGTAAGTGTTTTCTCCCAAAAGCTTTTGCCAAGGCTGTGTATGAAGCACCAAGAAACATCCATTCTTTATTAAACTGAAGTATATGTAAACATGTTCTGTTGAGGCTGTTTGGTTACCCATAACTTTTTTTTTCCCCACCCATAACTGTTAACGTATAATAGGGAACCATATAACTGTGGTGCTTTTTAATCACAGAGGAGGTTTTATTTTATGTCAGATATTAACATGACCTCTTTACACAGAAAAGTGGGGAAGGCTTTAATGTATAATTTTTTTTACCCCTTTATTTTGGAAAATTACAGCTATTCGAAAGTACCTAGATAATATAATCTTTAAGTCACTCACGGCTAATCTTACGTAGCATTCCGCCCACTCACTTTTTTTTGAAGCAAATTTTTGACATAGTATTAGTTTATCCTTAAATATTATATACCTATATCTATAAAACAGAAGGGTTTTTCTTTGTTAAACATAGCCATGGTAGTATTGGCACTCCCTAAATAATAGTTGTAATGATAATTCATTAATCAGTATTTGAATTTTCATTCCAAAAGTTTTTTCCACACACACGTACGTACATACATACATGTGGTTTGTTCGAATCAGATTTGAAATAAGGTCCATACATTACAATTGTGAGATATGTCTCTTTGGTCTTAGTCTCTAGATTGTTCCTCCATCTCTTTTTTATCTCCTATATAATTTTTGTTAAAGAAACTAGGTTATTTGTCCTATAGAGCTTTCAGTAGTCTGAATATGTTGATTGCACTACTCTGGTACCATTTAACAAGTTCCTCTTTTCTTTGTATTTCTTGTAAATTGGTTGTTGGATGTAGAGACTTGATCAATTACAACTTCTTCATGTCTCGGGGGGGTTGTGGATAGGGGACGTGCCTACTATACTACTTAGGGTTTAAGAGACACATAATTTTGGATTGTCTTCTCTTTTTGTAATCTTAGCTATTGATGCTCAGTGCCTGAGTTCACTATACAAAATGATGATATTCTAAGTTTATTCCTTCATGTATCAGGTAAAATACTTACTTAAAAATCTTTGATTATTCTGAGGCATGATTTGTATAGGAAAGTCAGAATACATGAGTTATTTTTTTCAGTCAGGTATCAGAATGATGAGTTGATTTCCTAGCATTTTCAGTGGTGACTTTTTTCCCCTTTAGTATCATTATGACTTCGTGGATTTAAACATTTGCTACATCTCAATCTGTTGTCATTATTCTTATTAGTGCTCAGATTATCCCATTTTTGGAATAGGAGCACCTTCAGGTTGGTTCCTGAAGATGTAACTCTGTTTTGATAGCTTTTGTAGTGTTTAAACAACCAGCGCCCCACCCTCTTTCCCAGATTTAACATGTTTGATAAAAGAATTTAATGCAATTCACCAGAAATTACAAATTATGGAGTTTTAGTTTGTTAAAAAATATATAAACCTTGCAAAGTTACCTAGGTAATATTTAAAAATTTATTATTGAAGTGTAGATTTAGTCATTTGTCTCTCCTTAATTGTAATGGCAACAGTCTAATGGACAGGGAAGTGACATAACGTAGTGTTAACATGGACTTTGGAGTTGGCACGACCTGGGTTCAAATGCCAACTTTGTCACTTATTATCTATACCTTGGCAAATTACTTAACATTTCTAAATTTTCTTTCTTTCTTTCTTTCTTTTTTTTTGTTTTTTTTTGAGACAGAGTCTTGCTCAGTTGTCTGGGCTAGAGTGCGGTGGCATCAGCCTAGCTCACAGCAACCTCAAACTCCTGGGCTTAAGTAATCCTTCTGCCTCAGCCTCCTGAGTAGCTGGGACTACAGGCATGCGCCACCATGCTCGGCTAATTTTTTCTATATATTTTTAGTTGTCCAGATAATTTCTTTCTATCTTTTTTAGTAGAGACGGGGTCTCACTCTTGCTCAGGCTGGTCTCGAACTCCTGACCTAGAGCGATCCTCCCGCCTCAGCCTCCCAGAGTGCTAGGATTACAGGCGTGAGCCACCACTCCTGGCCTAAATTTTCTGTTCTATAAATTGGCTTTGATAACTTTCTAAGTGGTAGGTTCAAATGAGGCACTGCATTTACAGGGTTTAGCATGTAAATATTGTTTTTCTTTTCTCTCTTTTTCACATCCTCCCCATATATGTATGTATGTGTGTGTGTATTATATATTATACACACACACATATATACACATACACACTTATGTATGTGTATTTATATGTATACCTATATGCATTTAACAAAAAAGATTGTAGTTTTTGCTCTGTTTTAATCTTTGGATCTTAACTAAGATTTCCCCAATGGTTTAGATTCATTTCCTAACAGCTTGGTACTATTTTGAGTTTTTACAGTTATTTATTTATGCTTAAACAGTCTAAAAGCATACATTGTACTTACACTGGAAATATGTGTGGAAATGTTTGAATCATTGTATGGGTGATTCAAAGCATATCTGTCAGAGGAGTTTGCTGAGGGCTCCCAGTTTGCATCCTATGGTCTCTGTTTATCTTCCTCTCTCATGAGTATCTGTTTCTCATTGAAGAAGAAAGACAACTGTCAGCAAGATTCAGTCTCATTAACTTGGTGTCTTGAATTCCAAACTGAATTGATTCCTTTGTATTTTTTGAAATATTATTTAAGAAACATCTGTACTATTTTGTCACATTCTGTTTAGTTTGGATTTCTTTGTACGGAGATTGCTCAAGGGTCCAGATATTAATTTTTGTATCATTGAATTTATTTCAATTTAATTTTCAAAGTTGTGTTTTCTAAAGTTTCATTCTGTAGCACTATAACCAGTTGTTGAAGACAGCAAGTAGATTCAGTACCTAGAAGTAAAAACTGGTACAAGTATAATACTACAAAGCCATTTCTTGCCATATTGAATAAGTATTTGATTAATGTGTTGCGGTTTGGTTGGAAAACACTAGGAAAATATAAGTGTGATAAAAAATGGACTTGACTAATCAAATAGTTTGTGTTGAACTGATTTTTTTCCTTGATGGCATTTGAAACATGTTAAATGTAGATTTCCCCCGTGATGTTCCAAATATAAATTAAATGTATTAATAGACTGTGTATTATTATCTACTACCCATTCACATATGTTTTGGATTATAAGCTGTAAACTAGCTTAGGGACCTAATTCCCATTTCTACAAGGGACAAATGTATTTCATTTGTTGTTCTCAAATGTACAATTAAATTGTTAAAATTGGAATACCGTTTGAGTATCCCTTACCTGCAATGCTTGGGACCAGAAGTATTTCAGATTTTGAATTTCAGATTTTTTTTTTTTAATTTTGGAATATTTGCATTATATATACTTTACCAGTTGATTATCCCAAATCTAGAAATCTGAAATGCTCTAGTGAGCATTTCCTTTGAGCATCATGTCGTTGCTCATAAAGTTCCTCATGTTGGGGCATTTCAGAATTTCGATTTGGAATGTTCAACCTGTATAATCAACTCTACATTTGAGAATTTCCTTTACCATGTTCTCTATTCATTTAGTTTATAGTTATATTATCTAGATGTTACATATTTCGGCCTAGAACTATGTCTTTTAGTGGAACTTTCTTCTTTTTAGCCTAGTATTTGAAAACCCTTAAAGAATTTATTTCTGTTCATTCATAAGTTATAGAATCACAGTGGTGGGTTTGTAAGTTGAAATCATCTAGTGAATCCCCCCGTTTTGTTGTTAGAGAACTAGGAGAGCCAGAGCAATTGAAGGACTTGTCCAAGGTTTTATAGTTACTTATATCAGGATGGAATTTTCTGATTGCTGGTATTTTCAGCAATACTAGATGATAACTAGATTATATTATTGTTTAATCTTGTATGGATATTTCTTCTAAAATTATTTCTCAAAAAATTCATTTTTTTAATTTATCATTTATCCATTAGTATTTCTTCTATTATTTTTATTTTCTGAAAAGGAAATTTTTAGCATATAAAGAAATTGCATTTTGTCATGCTAAGTAAAAACAGTGACAAAGGATTACAAGGTATTCAGAAAATATAGCACTTACATTGTTAAGCACTAAGCAGCATTTAATTTAGGTAGTTCTGTGTGGTGTTTGAGGGATAGGGAAAACATGGTGTTTAAAAACGGTTTTCAAGAGTAAAGTATGAGCAGTGACATATAGAGTAGCACCCCATATTTCAGAGCACAAGAAGGGAAGTGGCACAGGTACCTCTTAAAAGGGACACATTTTCTCCCTTACTGTACTGACCTTTCAGATGTATACAAAACAGTAATTACATAAAATGCCCCACATTTTCCTGGTTTTCTTCCTAGGATAATGTTTAATTAATATGTTTCTTTGTTAGTGGAAGAATTTTTTGTTTGTAATTTTTTCCTGATTTTCTTTCTAAAATAATGTTAAATATGTTGCTTTGTTAGTGGAAAAATTTTTTGTCTAGTAACTTTTTTCTTTTTTTTTTTTTTTTGATCTAGTAACTTTTTTTGGTTTGTTTACAAGTAGAATACATATTCATTGCAAAAGCATGGCAACCTCAGGCAAACACAAAGAAATGATACTGATCTGAAATCCTGTTAGAGTTAACTAAAATGCAAATTTTCTATGCACACAGTACCATTATTTAGTTTAACAAAATTGGCAGATGAAAGTGTATGTTGAATTTATTAACTTGTTTATCTTATTTACTTTGATGTAAACATTTTTGTATAGGATTAAATATTCTTTTACGTGATTTTTTAATGGCTACATATATATTCCATCATATGATGTTTCCTAATATATTTAAGTGATCCCTTATTGGTGGTCATTTGAGTTTCTGATTTTCTCATTTATTATATAAAACACATTGTCTAGCTTTTAGATATAGCCATACTCATTTGCAAGATTATTTCTTTACTAAAACTTCCTAGAAGTAGAATGGCCTGCAAAGAATTTGCAGTGGTTATCTTTTGCTGTGTCCCTGACTTTTAATCTTTCTCTACCCACTGGACATGCTATTCATTCTTGGCACTTAACCTTCCCTTTCCCACATACCAACTATTTCTTATTCTCATCATATCTTCTATATAATTCTTAGCTAGCATCTGTTTTGACCTATTAAAAAAACTTATGAATTGTTTTATTTACTTACATAGTTAAAGTTTAGGGAAGTCTAGAATTTTGCTCTTAGGTTGAAGACCAGTTGGGAAAATGCAACTTGTTTTTTTTTTTTTTTTTCCTCTGAGTATGAGGTACAATTGTTATAATTTCTACTAGTTTTCATTGTTTCTTAAATTTTAATACGAGTTAAATGGCAGGCTTCTAATAGAATGTGAATGTCTTCAGTTTATTTGGTGATCACATCCTTGTTAAACATTCAAGGTTTTTTTTTTCTATTTTTATGTGACCATAGTGAGACATTTTTGGAAACTTTAAAAAAAAGAGTATTTAATTTATGTAATCAAACCATCTTTGTACTGTTATTGTAGATATTTAGCTTTTTAGATTCACATAGCTGATTACCATTTTAAATCAGTGATTTTTTTCAGAATGTATCGTTCATCTTTGCTTTAATGTAATGCACGTATTTAGTGCTATGAATTCAGCTTCCTTTGTTAATAGAGTCACTTTACAGTACTATTCTTAAGGTCATTCACAGGGTATTGTGTACAGATTTATCATTGCACAAAGTGTTTTTGGAAATTACTTGTAATTGGGTTAAATGCTGGTAGGATTTAAAATCTGGTTTCTAAATGATTCTCTATGAAGTGAAATTTGGATACATAGAAACTTTTCATAAAATTCTTAAATTCATTTGCCATGTATTTTCATTTATAGTTTTCATATTCATTAACATATGTTGTTCCTTACCATTTACAGCTCAGAATTCTGCAAATGCAGATTTTGCAAACTTTGATGCATTTGGACAGTCTAGTGGTTCGAGTAATTTTGGAGGTTTCCCCACAGCAAGTCACTCTTCTTTTCAGCCCCAAACTACAGGTAGAACTTCTCTAGTATGGTGCTTAAATGTTTACTTTAAAAAACGAAACACTCTAGTTGTAATTTTGAAAGATTATTCTAAACTTAAATTCTGCAATTATCTGATTTTAAAATAGTTCTATCTTACAAAGCTCTGGGGAAACCTGAACTCTTTATATTTTTCTATGTTCATTTGTTTTTCTACATTCTTTGGTATGTTGTCTAATTGGCAACATCCATTCCCCTCCTTTTCCTGCACATGAATCTTTTTTAAACCTCCCATGTACAGGGACATTAAAGTACTAAAGGTTTTTTTAGGTTCATGAAACATAATGATTTAGGTTGACATTATACCTCTGAATAAAGGAAGCTGATTGACTGCTTCCATACAACTAAAAATGTAAATAATTTTCAGAGCAACAAGCTTGGGAAGTTTTTTAAAATGTTATTCGTCAAGAGTAGATTATTTAATGATGACTTTAATAAAACTTGGAACCAGTTTTCTGTGCAGGAATTGGTCTTTAAACATCAAATACTCTCATAAACTGTACTGTTTTCCGAAACTCATTGAATCTTTATTTAGATCTTTGGGTGATTACTTTTCTTTCAACTTTTAACTCTGTGTATTGTCTTAAAGCTTTTTCTTTCAATTTTCTTTTCTTTTTTTCTTTAAAATTCATCATTTACATAATTTCTGGCTGTCCAGCATTTAGAATGCTTTCATCTAGCTGCAGTTTTGGTGAATTTACTTCAGCTTTTCCTCTCCAGGCTACTCACAGTAAGTTCTGTTGTCAAGTAGGCATCTTTCACTACTTTGTATGTTTTTGCTATATTTCATGGGTTTTTCCAATTATAGATTGTTAATCATTCTTTAATGATAACCCTTTATAAACTCTCACTTTTACCCTCCCTTTTCTATTACTAAACTCAAGAGTTAAGTAGGGAACATAATAGTGTATAATAAAAGAGTGAGTGGGTTTAATAATTTGAAATAAAAATTCTTTATAGAAATGTTGAAAGTTTAGTATGTACTTTGTTTACCAGCTACTTGTAACAGATCACCGTTTTAAAAATACAATCATATATTACTAGCTTTATTGAAAACAACCAGTTTAATACCTGAAAGAGATTTCATCAGTATAGATTTGTTTTAGAATGTCTAAAAAATAGATTGATAGAAAATGTTTGTGTTTTTTTAAAATAGGGGTGTGTGCATTCTGTGTTTAAAATATCTTTACGTTTCTTTGCTATCACTTAAAAATATAACTTTCTAGAAACATAGACAGGTTGTACATAACTATTTTGATTGCTGAAACCAAGGTTTAGAAATAAATAGTACCTCAAAAAGTGTAGGATCCCTTGGTTTTAGTCTTTTGATAGTACTTTAGGGAAGTCTCTAGAATAAGAGCAGACTTCAGAGATTTAGCAGGATATGTACCATAGTGATCCTTAGGTGAATTGTACTTTATAAATATAAGTCAAAAATTGCTATCATTTATTATGTACTATAATTTTTATACCTGTGTGATAGATGGGGCATGATTTTACATGATATTGTATGCACATTAAATTGTTATTTGGAATTAAGTAATAGCTCTTCAAGTAAAGTAAGTCTAAATTTCAAGAACCACCTTTTAAGAAATTGTGGATCGAAATAATACACCATAAACATTGTTGATCCCTACTCCTGAGATTTGCTTAAACCATGTTGCTGTGAAGCAACAAAAGCTTGAATCCTCCAAGTAGGATACTTCATATCTTGTTTGCAGTCTATTTAGGGAAAACTAATACAAGGTCATAGTATATAGCTGGATGTTCTATAAAGTAACTGAATCTCAAACCAGGTAGTATGGAGTTACTCCCCTGTAGGACATTCTTCACTATATGGTAAATAATAAACATAGAAACCTGTTACCTTACATGTTGCCAAGGCCTTTGAAAATCTAGTTTCACATACTATAAAAAAGTCACAGTCACACTTGTAAGTTGAATACCATTTGCCAGTCATTGATTTTAAGGATTTAGGATTGCTTATAGGACACTTAATTTAGGAAAAAAGGACTATATAGTCTACTAAAGGGTATTGGGAAAAGTTTAGAAATTTCAAGTGTTGTGTTTATTTTGTTACAGGTGGAAGTGCTGGATCAGTAAATGCTAATTTTGCTCATTTTGATAACTTCCCCAAATCCTCCAGTGCTGATTTTGGAACCTTCAATACTTCCCAGAGTCATCAAACAGCATCAGCTGTTAGTAAAGTTTCAACGAACAAAGCTGGTTTACAGACAGCGGACAAATACGCGGCACTTGCAAATTTAGACAATATCTTCAGTGCTGGGCAAGGTATTAAGCTTTAATCAAAACAAATACAAATTTGTATATTAAACAGTGCTCTAAATTTGCTTGTATTTATTAAAATCTGAGGATGTTATGCTTTTCTCAGTTGTATAGAAATTTTTTCCACACTAACATTTCAAGTAAAATGTTTACTTGGCACATTTTGGACCTACAAAACTGAAGATATAGAAAGTAATTTGTAAACTTTTAGTTTTAAAAGAAAACAATTAAGAAAAATTTTTATTTTGTTTTAGAAAGCATGCTTTACTACTCTGGCCATAAAGGGCCAAGAAATCTCATTAATGGAGCTGACTGCTGGAGGGTTATTTGGTGGTTTCTGTAATATATTTTGAACTATTTTTGTTAACATCTTGGTGTTTTTTCTTTTTTTTTTTTTTTTAAATCCATGATTTTTACAGTATATTTTTATGCCCAGTTTTGGTCTTAAGGCCAGTAGCCTCTAAAAATGCCTGTTGCAGTGGTGAACGCGGGGCTCTGGTGCTAGACTGGATTCTGCATTCTGATTTCTGGGCCTGTTTTTCTTCTCTCCAAAATGAGGATGATAATAGTATTGAACTCATGGAGTTGTGTTCTATACATATTGCATATAAGGCATTTAGAACAGTGCCCAGCACATAGTAAGTGCTCAGTAAATGTTTCCTATTATTACTATCTCTAGTTTTTTTCATGGAGAACCTTGAGAAAATGATACTTCTAATATGTTGTTCACATTAAGTCCAGCACTTCATGACTTTCTGTGTTCATTTGAATGAGGTCCACCTGTCCTGGAGATGTTAATGAATCATTTTGATAATTCCTTCTTTATATATAATCTAGACATGTTGGTACAGAATCTTAGTTTTTGTTATGGAAACAGTATTGTCTTTACCACAGTGGTATGTGTAGCAACTAATCTTGTCCAGTATTGTCTAGATTATTTATTAGATTAAGACTCTAGAATCCTGTTCATTTATTTGCTTAGCTCCAAATCAGTTTTTAAGTTTACCTGTGTTTCATGGCAAATGTGGTTGATAAATTGAAAGTATAACTTAAAATTTTTAGTGTAATTTGATTTTGTTTGTTCCCAGGTGGTGATCAGGGGAGTGGCTTTGGGACCACAGGTAAAGCTCCTGTTGGTTCCGTGGCTTCAGTTCCCAGCCAGTCGAGTGTATCTTCAGACAAGTATGCAGCCCTGGCAGAACTGGACAGCGTTTTCAGTTCTGCTGCCACCTCCAGTAATGCATATACTTCCACAAGTAATGCTAGCAGGTACCTTGTCTTAGCCAGCATTTCTGCTTTGTGTTTTATCTTTTTTTTTTTCCACTCCAAATAATAACATGGTTAAATAATGACTATATGGGGGCAAATTTAAACATTTTTGAATATTTCTGTAAATTTGAAGAAATTGCTAATTAAAATATAATCTTTGAATAATTGCCATAATTTTATCTTTTCATTGAATCAGTTTCTGTTACTTTTCATCCTTGAACATTATAATGTATTTAGGAATGTGTACACATCTCAAATGAACAGTTATATACAGATTGTACTCAGTAGAGAAGCCATTTAGCAGTCTAATTATGTGCTTTCAAGATACAGTTTTCAGTCACGAAGACTAACCAATGAAAGTGCCATGTTGTAGCCTTAGTTATAAATACACATTTTTAGAAATGTTTGCACCCAAGCCCAGCATCAGTTCTATATCTCTTCAGTGTCATACTCATACTTATAAATAGACACTTCTGCTAGTATGTTCAAATATATCTGTTATAAAGGAATTCTTGGCAGTAGGAAGTCTAACACATTTTAAGGACATTACACTTTTAAAAAACTCTTCTAGTCTTAACTTTATTTTAGAGTTAAAGAAACAGACTCATAAGTACAGGTGATTTACCTGTACAATGTTTTATTCATCTGTTTCCCATTCCTGTGGATTGTATCTGCTTCTTTCGTTCGTTATCCTAGTAGCTTATTTTCCTTTAGCACTTTTTCTGGAGAAAAATGTTAGGATTGTAATACTAGTTACTTGGGCTCTCTGATAGTAAATTTTCTATATGCCAGATGGGAAAAATTGAATCCAAAGAATAAAATTTGGGGTGGTTTATATATGTTTTGCTTTATTAGTATTAACTACATTAGACATGTAATAGTGGACTACAGCAAAGTGGCCAAAAAGTCTGGGAACATTGACAAGTTGGGGATAACAAATGATTTATTGATATTACATTACAGTACCTCAGTGGTTTGCGAAGTGTGATCCATGGGGTACCTGAGAACCTTTCAGGGAGTCTGTTAGGTTAAAACTTTTTTCATAATAATTCTAAGATTATTTACATTTTCATTAATTGACATTTGTATTAATGGTATAAAAACAATGGCATGTAGAACTTGCTGGTGCGTTAGCATGAATGAAGATAATGGTACCAAACTGTACTGGTAGTCTTCTGATAGTCATTATATTCTTCACGAGGACACATTCAGCTTTACTTACGAATATTCTTGATTCAGTTTATCTTATGAATATTGTTGATGGAGCAGTAACAGTTTTTAATTTTATTGAATCTTTACCCTTAAATATGTCTTCTTAATTTTCTATGTGTTGATATTGATGCTATGATACATGATGTGTTCAGTATTACCTGTTTCCACATTTTATGGCTACCATGTAGATAGAGTACCCCCCCTTTTTTTTAAATATGAACTTTTTCAATATTTGTTTTCAGCAGTGTTTTTGGAACAGTGCCAGTGGGTGCTTCTGCACAGACACAGCCTGCTTCTTCAAATGTGCCTGCTCCATTTGGAGGTAGGTGCTTCTGGTATATATACTGGTTTTTATAAAGAACCTAAATATATATCATATAGCATTTTTTAGGGATACCAGAAGATAGTCAAAGCAATGATTTATTATCAGAAAGCTTGAATTTTCTATCTTGATAAATACAGTGAACAAATATTTTGAATCTCGAATACAAGATGTACTAGGATTTTATAGTGTATTTTATAATTTTTTAAAGCTACGCCTTCCACAAATCCATTTGTTGCTGCTGCTGGTCCTTCTGTGGCATCTTCTACAAATCCATTTCAGACCAATGCCAGAGGAGCAACAGGTAAGAAAAAAAGACAGATTATGGAACAGTAAGCTTTGGGGAAGGTATTTATCACAAAAAACACCATGTGAAGAACACCAGAAAATGTGATCTCTTCCTTACTGAAGGGAATGGCAAATGGATAGAAGAATTTATCCATAAAGAAGAAGTTTATGGAAAGCTGAAAGTTTATAAAATCCTGGAATTAACAGTTGAGAGAGACCTTAGAAATTAACTAGAGTCTACCCTTCCCAGTCAAAGCTTTCATTTTTCGGGTAGGGAAGCCCAGACATGGAGATGAGACTTCTTAGAACTACATAGACAATTCATGACAGAGATAGGACTTGAACACAGTAATTTTGACTTATTTGGTGGTCTGGTTTCAAAATTACTGGCTATAACTCATTCAATCTTTTTTTTTTTTTTTTTCTCATTCAGTCTTAATAGAGCAATTTTATGAGAAGTTTTTGTTTTTTCATGAGATTGTATCAGATGAATTTGTTACATGAGTTCTTAATAAATAGGTCTTTGTAGTGCATATCTTTTTCAAGATGTTAACATTTTTTAAATCGTGGGAACCTGATGCAATTTTGGGTATAATATTGAATGTTTTCTCTTTTGATATTTTTTTTCCCTATTTCTCTTTACCCTCCCCTCCCATTAATTAATATTGCAAGCCAGGCACATCTTTCTCATATCGTACTTCTTTGATTTTGTCTTATTAACCTGAACACCAGAGCTATTTGCCATCACCTTGCGATGTCAACTAGTGCATGTGATATGGCTGGGTATATGTTACGTCTAGAGTTTATAAGCTTTTTTGGTATATATATGACACGATAATTTTAGAACTCAAGTTTAAACTCCACTTATAGCAAACATTGATATTAAATCTTGAGAGAGGAGGTACTTCTATGTAACATTACAATTAAACTATTAAGAATTAGTAATTATTAGTAAATAGTTTTTATCATTGATAAGATTAAAAATTGTGATTAGGAATTTGAACTGTACTATATTCCTTTTCACATAATTGTCTTTAGTCGTAATTTGTTGGTATCTAGTAATAAGTGTTTAATAAAATATTTGAATTTCACACCAAATTTAACTTTTTAAAAATGGTTTGTTTTAATTCAAGTGTACCTAATCAATGATTGTTTTAAACTTCCATTTGTACTATTTCTTCATCAGATGTGATCCATGCAACATTTCTATTTCTTAGTATATTATATTGACTCAGTGGAATGAATTTGTAAAATGTATCATGATACAACAGGTTTTGTACATTGTCTCATTTAATCCTCAACTCTGATCATATATATGTCTAAATCTCTGTGTGACAGCTGAGCGAACTGAGGCTCAGAAAAGTTAAGTGGACACGTTTTGACTATAGCCAGCCAAACTTGTGTTCAAATTCTGATTCAGTATTTACTTGCTGGGTGACCCTAAGAAAGCTTTTTGTCTTTTATTTTAATGAATAGGGTAAGGATGATGGTGGGGTGGGGGGTGTTCTAACATTTGTTGAGTGGTGAAGTTGTTTGCAAGATACTGTTGAGATGTTTATGTTATAACCCCATTTAACAACTAAGAAATGGAAACTCAAATTGTACCTTGACTGAGGTTAATTGTGTGGACCTAATTTCTCTGAGCCTGTTGTTCTTATCTATAGAATTTGAAAAATAATCTCTTGGTGGCAGGATTGTTGTGAAATTTTATGATGCAAATCACTCTTTGTGGTCTTTACATTACAGAATATACTCAGTAAATTGAACCTATTATTTTCCTCTCATAACTACCTTTGAGTTGGTTCTGTCATTAGATTTAAGGGCTTTTTTGGCTTATTTTATTTAGAATATGAAAGTCTTTTAAAAGTTAAGGTTCTATATAGGATATAAAATAACATAAATGTATAATATGTGCTCAACTGATATAAAATAATAGCAAAGTTTATTCAAAAGATAAATCTGTGTCCACTTATTTTTATTTCAAGGTAAAATATTTTGTCTGTTATAAGCCATTTGGAATTCATCACATTGATCACCTTCATTAGGTTATTGTTGAATTGACTACATCAAAGTAAATGGTAACTGCATATGTTTCTATTGAAGCCAAAATATAAATAATACTTTGACAAATGCCTAGGAATTTCCAGTGTTTTATATCATAAAAATTAATATTCTTTAGGATTTTTTTTGTTGTCCTCAAATATGCTTGTATTGCAGAATTACATGTTGAGGTAACCTTTGAATATTGCATAATCTGTGGAAATTTGAAAGTTTTATTATATTTTATTCTTAAAATACATATTTAAATAATCATTTTTTTTCCTGGATTTTAAACTTTGAAGCTTTAACATTTTTTTTCCCCATATTACATAGGATCCTTCATTAGGTGATTAGCCTATATGGCCTAAGGCCTTTTTAATTTTCAAACTCTATAATATTTAGCATTTTTTTTGCCCCCCTCTCCCTCACATCTTTAAATATAATTAATGGAAGTAAAATAATTTTCAATTTTAGGAAATGTCCTTATAACTCTTAAGTCTCTCCTATGTTACTGAGTGATTAGCCTTTATTTGCTAGCATTTAGTTTAACGAATGAATGGTTTTAAAGATTCATTTTCTTCCCAAGGAGATAAATTTATAAAATACAGAGCTGAAAGATTTCATAGATAGCATCTAGCCCCCACATCCTTGTTTTCTTACCTAGGTGGAAACTGATTTGCAAAGATGTTAATGGATTTGCCTGAGGGTTCAAAATTAAGTAATGGCTGATCTGACCTCAGTACCCAAAATGCTTCTAAACCAGCACTATTTCCATTCCAGTACAATTGCCTCTAAATTTATAATTTAATTTTGCATTGATGAAACATACACAAATTAGTGTTGTATACTATTCCTTGTTTATATCTAAATATTCAGTAGGCTCATGTCACCTGTGTAGTATACTCTGGAAATCAGGATTGATACAAAAAAGGAATGGGGGTAGGTGAGCAAAACCAAAGGAAAAAAATTAAATAGAAAGTTACATTGGGCTATGTAGGACATATTTTGTTTATAGAATTGTTGAATTACTCTCCCTGTGCTCCTCACTCTCAATTTATTTTTCATATTTAGATATCTCTGACATTTAATAATCTGCAGTTGGTACTTTTTGCAGCCAAAAGTGAAAATTGTCAACTTGGCAATAAAAAAAGACACAGGATAGTTGTAAAAATTAACGTAACAAAAAATTAAACTTCATAGCAGGTCTGGAGAAAATATTTGCAAATCACGTATTTGATAAGGGACTTGTATTCAGAATATATAAACAACTCTTAAAACTCAATAATAAAAAGGCAGCCCAGTTAAAAAATGGACAAAAGATTTGAGTAGAGATTTCTCCAAAAAGTTGTACAGATGGTCAATAGAAGATAGACAATAGCAAGCATTAGTGAGGAGGTAGAGAAGTTAGAAACCTCATATATATTGCTTGTGGAAATGTAAAATGGGACAACCCCTTTGGCAAACAGTTTGGCAGTTTCTCAGAAAGGTCAATCTAGAGTTACCATATGACCTAGCAGTTCCACTGTTAGGAATATACCCAAGAGCAATGAAAACACACTTCCACACAAAAACTTGGACACAAATGTTCATAGCAGCATTATTCATAATAGCCAAAAAGTAGAAACAACCCAAATGTCCATCAACTGATGAAACCAAATGTTGAATAGCCATACAGTACAATATTATTAGATAATAAAAAGTAAAAAAGTATTGATACATGCTACAACATGGATGGACCTTGAAAACATTATGCTAAGTAAAAGAAGTTAGTCACGAAAGGCCACATATTTATGGTTCTATTTGTATGAAAGGTCTAGAATAGGCAGATCTATAGAGAAAAAGTAGATTGCTGATTGCCAGGGGCTGGGATGGTGGTAGTGGTGGGGCAGCATGGAGAGTGACAGCTGATAGGTATGGATTGCTTTTGGGAGTGGTGGTGAAAATATTCCAAAATTACATTGTGATGATGGTGGTACAGCCCTGTGAATACATTAAAAAAAATGAATTCTATACTTTAAATGGACGAATTGTGTGGTATGTGAATTATATCAAAAGGATATTGAGGTCTAAAAAAATTTTATAGCAGACCAAGACCAGATCTTGGGTGGCATATTCGTTACACAGTGAAGTACAGTGGTTAATATTGGCTAATATTTACTGTTGACTAAAAGTCAGTTTTTGCCAGTGTATTTTATGGACCATGTCTCCAGGCGTGTGTTGGAGATATTAGCAGTATTCCATGGAAAAGGATTCTGTGTTGAAATAAATATGGTACATGCTGGGCCAAACACAATGTAACCAGTATTATTAATACAGGACTTCTCAGATCCTTTAAAGTGCTCTGAGAAAGGAGATAAATGTAAAATGATTAAACTTCTCATAGAACTCTTCCCCCTCAATTAACATTTTCTTGAATTCAGAATACAGTGACATCATTTTAAGTTAGCAAGAAAAATACATTCATTGAATGTTTACTATATGGCACTTTAATTCATTGTTACATTAAATCCTCTCAGCAGCTTTGTGACATAGATACTGTTACCCCTGTCATTCCATCCCCCATTTGTAAATGCAGAAGCTGAGGCTTAAGACATTAAGTAACGTCATGCAACTAGAAAATGACAGAACCAAGACTCAGAACCACTCAATCTCTTAATCACTGTTTCCCAAATGTATGCTTCTTTAAAAAGTGTTCTAATTTAAAGTGCATGGAAATATATTTTAGAAAAATCCCATTTCTGATCATTAAAACAGAAAAAGGTTCTAGTATTTAACAACCTGTTTACTTTCTGTTAACTTCATATGACTTGTATGTAGCCTCTCTACCCTCAAACATGCCAGGTAAGATCTGCACAAAATGCATTTTTCTTTCTTCTTTTCAGCCATTATATTTAGAGCTGAAAATACTGCTCACCTTTCTAATAATCTAATATGTTTAATAATTTTCCCCTTGTAATAAATTAGTTCACTTGAGTTATCTTTAGTTCTAGTTAATGTGCTGACTTGTGAATAAAAAAAAAAATTAAGCAATTATTCAGGTGCTCTCTCCCAAGACTTGGAAGTTTTAATGCTAAATATGGATGCTAGATAATTTTAGATGATCCTATGCATAGCAGTTTTGGGTGTAGCTCATGATGCCTATAAAGCCTTTTTTATGAATATAGTTGTGTCTTCACATAAAAAAAAGTGCTTATTTTAAAAAATGGATTTCATCAATGTTTCTTCATTTCTAAACTCCCATTTATTTCAAACAGTGTAAATTTATGTCATGAATATGAAATAAAAAGGCTCATTTTGTGAATGTTTTTATTATGTATTTTTACGCTACCTGCTTGGCAAGAGTACATTCTAATTTTAGAACTTTTTAATGAAACAAATTTACTTTTATTTTAACAATAGTTATCCATAAATTAATTGACATTGGTCTCTTTATGGCTTTCCATAAGGCCTTTCTGGAGCAATGCATTCTCAAGTGTTTCCTCACGCTCATTTTGGTAGGTGGCCACAACTAATATCTAGATTTGTGTGGCAATTTGTCTACCTGCTTGTGGAAGCTTCTGCTACTGTTCTGGATCCCTGCATGTGGAATTAAGTTTTTTCCATGTTTTCAAATGGAGTGGGCATGGATGTGTGGCATTGGGTAAATTACATTGTATTTAAAATTACATGGAAATCTTTTGTAGTGATTTATGTGTTAATGCTGAAAAGCATTATTGCTTACTTCCATGGTCACATTAGAACGTTAGTAGCTGTTTTGGTTCTTTTTCTTGAGTTTGAATTCATAGTTCTTTGATGCCTTTTTGATATACCAAACCATTTTACCGCATTATTCCATGGAGTTTGGTTTTGCTTAACTGTTATCCAAGTTTTGCTTTTTAGTGCTTTCTTAAAATGATTTGTCAAAGTTGTGTCAGTGCATTGTCATCTGTTATGAAACCCTTCTGTTTCCCTTGCAGTGTGCTTATTCTTTAATTCACTTGCTTCCCAGTGGCCCATTTTTCCTTTTTTCCTCCTCAATAATATAAAAATAATTTTTAAAAATGTGATATTCTGATTATTTTTGTTGAGCAAAATTACATTGTCTGTAAACATTAGGACTACTTGGGACAACATCTATAACTTGTTATTCAGTTTTTGAAAATTAAGAGACATAATTCTATGTAACATTTTTAGTATTTAATTTCTATACCTTAAGTCAGTGAACAAGTTGGTAAATTTTTTTAAATCGGGAAATTTAGTGAATTACGGTTTTTTGATAGCATAATGCTAAAAATATTTTATTATGTAATTACCAGTGGTAATTAAGCCAACATATTTAAGCCAACATTATTGACTCTTATTTCACTGAGACCTTTCCTAGAACACATAGTTAGAAGGTTCTGTTTTTAATATTCACTAGCAATAATGTACTGTTCTACTGCATGTGGTTCCATAATGCATATTATTTCATAAGTGTTTAGTAAATGGGGGAATGATGGCAGCATACTACATACGTATGTAGCAGAGGTTCACACACAGATTTCCCCCAGCATGGTAATGCTCAGTCCACCAAGTATTAGCAGCTAGACATGGCAAGCCAAGGAGGAGTACAGTAGTACTAAACACTGTGTCCATTTATCCTACATTCTTTGTCTCATCTAAGAATGCTCATTTCACTCTTTTCTAATATTTGTGCATTTTGCACTAATTTCTGTAGATCAACAGTACTAACCTTCCATCAATCTTCTTCCAAAGCTGTCTTCGTTTCCATCTTTCAGAAAAGGGTGGGAATCCATATATTTCTTTTAAAATTAATTTAATGGGAACTTAACCTGTCCTTTTAATTGTGTTAGTATTTTTAGTAGACTCAGTCTCTCTCTCTCTCTCTCTCTCTCCCTCCCTCCCTCTTTCTCTCTCTCTTACCCTCCCTCCCTCTTTCTCTCTCTCTTACCCTCCATCCCTCTCCCTCTCCTCCTACCTCTCTCCCCCTCTCCCCCCACCCTTTATCCCTCTTTCCCTCCCTATCCTCCCTCTCACCACCACCTCCTTTTTTAGCTCTAATTACAAAGCTTCATAGGTTTTGAGTGGTCTGCCTCTAACTAACCTGTGTGTTTTATGAAGTCCTGTTATTTTTACTGAACTATTTTGCAGAGTTTTTAAAATTTTTTTTCCAGGAACACATATATTACATCATAGCAGATACTTCAGTAGATAAAATTAAAATTTGGGCTGTTATTTACTGTATATGGCAAAACAAAACTAAAAACAAAAATGTATACTAGTATACATATGAATTAAAAAATGATGGACTTTAAAAAGCAGACTATTGTTTAGACTTGAACTTTATATAATTATTTTGAGAAATTTTCTTAGGGTTTCAAATGACAGCGTTTAGTAGTTTCATTCTGGCTATTGAATTTTAGGAGAAAAAATTTCATAGGTTATGTTAAACTCTGTAGTGCTAAAACTCATTACCAACTTTGTTGGGATTTTGGAATTTAAAATGCCTTTAATGTACATCTTAATATTTTTCAAGGTAAATGATATCTATTCTACAATGTTGATATGAGAAACAAAAATACTCTTGTGTGTAACTAATCAGCCCTTCTTTTCTCCTGTCAGCGGCAACCTTTGGCACTGCATCCATGAGCATGCCCGCAGGGTTTGGCACTCCTGCTCCCTATAGTCTTCCCACCAGCTTTAGTGGCAGCTTCCAGCAGCCTGCCTTCCCGGCCCAAGGAGCTTTCCCTCAACAGACAGCTTTTTCTCAACAGCCCAATGGTAAGATCTAACATTTGGCTAGCAGTAAGTCCCCTTTAGGAATTCTTTGTGTATCATAATGTTAAGTGCTTGGGCACAAAGACTGCTAAAGAATGCTGTAGTATTATCTACTGAGTGTTTACTGCATAAAAATAGAAGCTTTTAGTGATTTGGGCCTCAGATAACTGAGTGATTTTATAAGTTGTTGTGACTGGATGACAGATTTAGGAGAAATCAGTGACATCTAAAGAGTAACACTTTGTTCTCAGAATTTCTTTTTTTTTTCTGAGACAGTCTCACTCTGTTTCCCGGGCTAGAGTGCCATGGCGTCAGCCTAGCTCACAGCAACCTCAAACTCCTGGGCTCAAGCAATCCTTCTATCTCAGCCTCCCGAGTAACTGGGACTACAGCATGCACCACCACGCCCGGCTAATTTCTTCTATATATTTTTAGTTGTCCGGCTAATTTCTTTATATTTTTAGTAGAGATCGGGTCTTGCTCTTGCTCAGGCTGGTCTTGAACTCCTGACCTCAAACGATCCTCCCGCCTCAGCCTCCCAGAGTACTAGGATTACAGGCATGAGCCACCACACCCAGCCAGAATATTGTCTTTTTCTTTTTAATTTGTCTTGTGCATTCTAATATGCCTCTTGATTTTAAAAGACTTTATAGACCTAGTGTATTAGGGTTTTTTTTCTTTCATCACAAAAATGTTGCTTGTGTACTTTTTTTATGTAAGGATTTGTGTTCTGTGTGTGTGAAGTAGACTCATTTTCTAAATAGTTAACTGTACTGTAGTTCGAGTTTATTACTTGTTTTTAGGAAGAGGGGGGAAGATTCACTTGACCATTTTTTTTAACCTATTTCTCTCACTTCCTAAAATTTGAAGTCCATAGATTTGAAGATTATTCTTGAATTACAACTGCATGTTTTCTTTTTTAAAGTTAGTGGTTATCTAAAAATTTGTAAGTATGGTCCACGGAAGAGCCATAAATAATAACAGATTTCTTGAGACATACTGTGTGGTTCACATAGATATCATTGTGTTCTCTGCATAGCCCCTGCCAAATAGTCAAAAGCTCATGTATTAATTAAATCCTATGAATGTCAGTGATTTACACAGTTGAGATTAGTTGGAATTAACCATTTCTGAAGAGCTGAATGAAAGTTCTTTTAAGATATGCCACAGGAAGTTAGTTTGCGATATCTGAAAGAGCGTGAGACCTAACAATTTAACTGTAATATTTTATTTTTGCTGCTCTGGTAGAAATTTCTCTGAAAGTTATTATTAGGCTTTATAAGTATCAGATTGTCTCTTGAAGACATATAATGGTTATAATTGGTGATTTCTGTTTTTAACAAGGTGCAGGTTTTGCAGCATTTGGACAAACAAAGCCAATGGTAACCCCTTTTGGTCAAGTTGCAGCAGCTGGAGTATCTAGTAATCCTTTTATGGTAAGTGAAACTCAATTTTAAGCATTTTATAAGTTGTTGCATCTTATTTTCACATTAGGAAAATAGACATTAGGTAGGATGTGAATACTATTGGATGCTATTTGGTATTCTTTTTTTTCTATTTTGAAATTTTTTTTAGCATTTTTTAACTTCTTTCTTATAGCCACTAGATGACCAGGGATATTTGGTATTCTATTGATATGACATCATAAGGTTATACAAATTGAGACAGAGCCAGTGCATGATCCTTTTCTGACTTTTTAAAATAAAAAAAAATTTGTCAGTTGGAAATCAAAGCATTGACAGTGAACAAGCTATTTTATAATATAAAACATACCTGCTTTCTTGTCAAAATAATACTTTATGAGAGGTCTTAGGAATTAGTGAATAGTATGAAAGGGAGTCTTGGAGTCATAGGTTTTGTGTGAATCACAAGTGCTTTTCCTTTTAGGGCCAAGTACCTTCTTAGAATCTATTACAAGAATTGTATGAAATAATGGATATAACAGACATAGCACAGTGCCTGAAACATAGTAGTTTTATTATAGTATGTTGCCAGTAACAATGATGAATAAATATTATTGCCAATAATAATAAAATAATTCTAATCTAAATAAATTTTAATTAAATAAGATTAAATTACATACAGGTTAATATTTTGTATTTTTGCACACACAGTACTTTTGTCTGTTTATTTATTTTATCTTATATTTTCCTTTAGACTGGTGCACCAACAGGACAATTTCCAACAGGAAGCTCATCAACCAATCCTTTCTTATAGCCTTATATAGACACTTTACTGGAACGAACTTTTATGTGGTCACATTACATCTCTCCACCTCTTGCACTGTTGTCTTGTTTCACTGATCTTAGCTTTAAACACAAGAGAAGTCTTTAAAAAGCCTGCATTGTGTATTAAACATCAGGTGATATGTGCAAAACGGAGGGCTCCAGTAACAAGTTTTAACCTGTGAATTGGCAGAAAAAGGTAGCGGTATCATGTATATTAAAAATTGGCTAATATTAAGTTATTGCAGATACCACATTCATTATGCTGCAGTACTGTACATATTTTTCTTAGAAATTAGCTATTTGTGCATATCAGTATTTGTAACTTTAACACATTGTTATGTGAGAAATATTACTGGGGAAATAGATCAGCCACTTTTAAGGTGCTGTCATATATCTTGGAATGAATGACCCAAAATCATTTTAACCATTGCTACTGGAAAGTTACAAAGTCAAAATTGGAAGATTTTATTCATTCTTGAATTTTTCCTTTCTAAAGAGCTCTTCTATTTATACATGCCTAAATTCTTTAAAAATGTAGAGGGATACCTGTCTGCATAATAAAGCTGATCATGTTTTGCTACGGTTTGCAGGTGAAAAAAATAAATATTAGAAAATATGCTATTGTTTTTGTGTTCTTGCTGCAATGCCTTTACCAAAGTGGCCTTAAATATGAGTAGTGAATTGAGAACATCTTGAATTCTTAAAAGATTTCTAGTGACTAACTTTTTATTAAAAGGCCATGTAGAAAACTTATTAAAACTACTTTGACTGCTATATTCAGGAATATGTCAATGGTAAAGCATTTAAATGTAGCTTGTCAGATTTACCGTAATCCTTCTAATTTCTTTGCAACTTCTTAATTTTGGTAAATTTGTATATATAAAGAATTTGCATGTATGTGTATTTACAAATTTTTCTAAGTATCTTGAATTCTCAGACTGCAAAAGGCCTATTTTAACTATTGATTTTTTTAAAAAAATTGTCTTTGAATGTATTGGAAGTAGACACGCATTAACTGTGACATGATTGCACCTCAG